TGTTTATAAGATATTTTTAAGCATCGTAACAAGTTTTTTATGATAATTTTATATATAAAAAAAAACTTTGAATTAGTTATTTTATAGGACACCTATTTAAAAACATGTCTATAAAAAGATACATGTTCTAAAAAACTTGTTAAAACGTCCAAAAATGTTCTATAAACTTATTATAAGACCTTTTAATTGGATGTTTTGTTGTTGATCTTATAAACTTAAGTCTTATAAATCAATCTTATAAAACACCTAAAAATTGTTGGTGTCTTGTAAACTCCATTTTATTATAGTGTATGAATATAGAGGTGACCATGGTACGGTACCATATTCTTTTTTTCAAATACCATGTACCAACCAATTATAATTGGTATGAAAAAATTATACCATGTACCAACCAAATATATTTGGTTCCAACTAAATTGGTACCAACTTTTTTCGGTTAGTACAGTTTTGTACCAACTAAAAGTTGAAGTTTCAAGTTTATTTATATTAACATCTTTACCTACTTAGATTTAGATACATTAAAACCATCGAGTATCCAAATAATATATTGGTATGTGTTTTTACCACTTACTACTACATATAAAGCATGTAAATAGTTTTCATATGATATAACAATTCATTAATAATCTAACACAAACGATCATTGGGGAACGACGACGGATCGTAAAGGTGTGGACGAGTTATTAAGGTTGGATGAATGAACTCAATCAAGTTCTATCTATCAATCCATATCATAATTTAGCAAAATTGAAAATTAGAATATTTAAATTTAAATTTAAAATCAAAATATGTTGTATTCTATTAAACGATAATTAATAAATAATAAAAAAAATCGATACAGCATGGTATTATCATAGTATACTAACATATGACTTATAATATCAATCATGTTTAAATAGTTGATACAATACTACCAATCAACTAAATTGATACGAATTATATGGATTTTAAATGTTAATCATGACTTTTCTGTTTATTTTGTGGGCGGATAAGCGTTGACTTAGCAGTCCTACCACACATCATTGCGCCAATAGAATTAAGGGAGCCATCATATCACAAAATTCATTCTCATTTCAAATGATGCCAAAAATAATTGTCATTTTATATATAGTAGTTTTTATGATTGTGGGAATAAATTTTATGAATCGAGATTGAGTTTATTTTTTAAACTAAATTATAATAATTTTAAATAAATTGATTTTATTAAATAGATAAATCTGTAACAGTTTGATTATAGGTTTTTATCACATATGATAACCATATCAATCATATGTAATAATTGTAGCTATTTTGTTAATCATATGTGATTATGTATAAATAAATTTATAAATTTTATTATGATGTAAATTTTATCATATGTGATAATACGTCACTTATTTAAATACAACCTCTCACGTGAGACTATTCTCTCACGGGTCTCACGAGAACCGTTTAATCTCATGTGATCTCAAGTCTCTCTCTCTCTCTCTCTCTCTATATATATATATATATATATAGAGAGAGAGAGAGAGAGAGAAAGCACGTTTCAAATACAACCTGTTTTATTTGTACGACCAATACAACCATGATCTAAACCGTCCATTTTTTTTAATTGATATTTGTAACTACCTTTTTCACTTCATCAAATGTTGACCATAGATGAACTAATTGATGGTTAAGATGAGGTTGCATTGGTTGTAAAAATGGAAAACTCTCCCTTTTCTCTCTCTCTCTCTCTCTCTCTCTCTCTCTCTGTGTTGATTCTCCCTCTCATTGATTTGATGATAATCACTTTGAAAGATCGAATGCATATGCCACTGCCTCGGCCCAAAATTCTTTTAGCAACTTCTTGCTTTTAAACATGTTTCTTGTCATATTGAGGATCATATGATTCTTTCTTTCAACAACACCATTTTGTTGGAAGAATCTTGGAACTATCAAAGGTTGACGAATTCCATTTTTCTTCACAAAAATCTCTGAAACTCCTTTAAAGTGAATTCTCCTCCTCGATCGGATCGCATTGCCATAATCTTGCAGCAACTTTCTTTTTCCACAATGGCTTTGAACTTCTTGAACACTTGGAAGACTTATGAATTTTGTTTCAAGAAATACACCCAAGTTTTTCTTTAATAATCATCAATAAACAAGAGAAAGCAATTAATTTTTTTTGAGAGAGTTTAGCTTGATTAAACCATGTATGTTTGTATGAATAAGCTCAAGCGGTTTCTTGGCTTTTGACTCCGTCTCATTTGGAAAACCTTTTTTGAATGGTTTCCCAAGTAAACACCCTTAACATAGTTGCTCGGGTTGGTTGAGACGTGGTAGTCCCTTCACCATTAGCTTCTTGGACAATAACTCTAAACCTCCAAAATTGAGATGTCCGATGACACATCTTTATAACAAGCCTTTAAACATTTTGCCACATCTTTTTGAATGTTTAAAGAAAACATTCTGTTTTCCGGCATCTTCACCTTTACTATTAAGTTTCCTCTCCGATCTATTATAAAAAGACTACAGTCCTTCAATTTCATAGCCCTTTTTTGAGAGTTGTCCTAAGCTCAAAATATTGTTTTTCATGTTGGGAATGTAATAGGCATTTGAAATTAATTTATGGCTACCATCCTTGGCACAGAAGAGAAAATAGCACCTTTCCCTCTTACTGATACTTTAGGATTATCTCTAGACAAGACATTGCCATTAACCGACTCGTTGAGCTCCATAAACTTGTTTCTTTTTCCATACATATGGTTGCTAGCACCAATATCGAGATACCACATATTTTTGTGGTCTTCGGTGTATTTTTGTGTGCTAGTTTTTAATGTTCCTCTTTCCTCGGCCTTTACCTCCTTACAATTAGCTTTCTCTTTAGGTCTATAGCTTGGAACTTTACACTCCAAAGCATAATGCTCGTACTTCTGAAAATTGTAGCATTGAACTTGAGATTTTCCAAACCTCAAGTTTGAATAACTTCCTCTTCCACGACCACTTGATGAACTTTATTTCTTCTCATAGTTGCTGACATAGTTGGTGTTACTAGTGGAGTACATGATATTTGGTTGACTTGTTGTGAGATATAGCAAAGAGCCGATCATTCCTCTATAGACAGTAACGTTAACAGGTTTCCGATCGAAAATCCTTGTTCAACATTAGAGGAGGTACCATAGGAGTCTTTATCACTGAGCATTGGGTTAGATCGAACTTTTTAAGCATATCCTTGACGTACTTGTTTTGGTCTATAAAAATGTCTTTTTCAGATTGTTTGATCTGAAGACCAAGAAAGTAAGTTAATTCATCCATCATGCTCATTTTATAGTCACTTTTCATGCATTCATAGAATCGAAACACACAGTGATGGTTTTGTGAATCCAAAAATAATGTCATCGACATATATCTAAACAAGAATGATATGACCCTTCACTTTCCTAAGAAATAAGGTTTTATCAATCTTTCCATGTTCAAACTTTTTAGTTATAAGGAAGAAAGAAAGAGTGTCATACCAAGCATGAGGTGCTTGTTTTAACCCATAGAGAGCGTTATCCAGTCTGTAAACATGATCAGGATACTTAGAATCGAGAAAACCTGGGGGGGGGGGGTTTCAACATAGACTTCTTCTTGAAATTTTCCATTTAGAAAGGCATTCTTCCTGTCCATTTGATATATCTTAAAATTTTTATGAGCAGTATAGGATAAAAATAGTCGAATTGCTTCGAGCCTAGCCATTGGAGCAAAGGTTTCATCGTAGTCTATGCCTTCCTCCTATCTGTAATCCTGAGCAACAAGCCTAGCCTTATTTCGGTTACAATGACATGTTCATCCAGTTTGTTACAATACACTCGTTTGGTGCTTATAACCGACTTGTTAGATGGACGAGGGACGAGATACAAAACTTTATTTCTTTCGAACTCAGTCAACTCTTCTTGCATAGTGCTGACCCAATTTGGATCTTTGATGGCATCATCGATTTTTTTTGTTCAAGAAGAGAGACGAAATTAACAAAGAGTCAAATATTACCTAGACCGTGTAAAGTCTGAATACCTGCATTTGAATCATCAAATTTTTGATTAATCGGGTGATTCTTTGACCATCTTTGAGGGGGTAGCTGAGGAGTTAGCTTTGAATCGTGAGAAGATGGAGGCTCGGGTGTTGATGATGAGGCTTCAATGGTAGATTCATTATCATTCAATCTTGACTCTTGAAGAGGTTCAGATAGAATGCAATTCATTGAGGAAGGTTCAACATTAGAAGAAGAAAGTTAGCATTTGAAGAATGTGAAGGAGGGATGGTGTTGATTGGAACAACATAAATCCCTGAAGATGATTCAGCTTAATGTGCACAAGGAATGATGTTTGGATTATCATCATCATTTGGTTTTTCAGTGCGAGGATGATGATTGAAGGATGCTTCAGGTTCTCCAAAGTGAAATATCATCTATTGATTCAGTTCTTCATCATTAAGTATAACCATTGAATTAGTTGAACGAGATTCATCAAAGATTACATGAATTGTTTCTTCAATGTATTAACTTCATTTTTTGAATAATCTGAATGTTTTGGATATAGAAGAATATCCAAGGAAGTACTGTCGCCAAATTTGGGATCAAACTTTTCAAGATTATTTCTGTTGTGAAGAATATAATACTGATATCAAAAGATATGTAGAAAGCTAGAGTGTTCTTTCTTCCATAAAGGAGTTCATAAGTTATCTTCTTGAATCGCTTGATAATCAACGAGCGATTTTGAGTGAACTATGCAGTGCTGACAGCTTTCGTGCATAAATGAGTTGGAAGATGAAGATTAACAAAAGTATGGGAAGTACATAAAACCAAGCAAAAACTAATAACATAGGGGTTTATTTTGTAATAAATGAATTATAGAGACCAAAACTAAGAAAACTCAAGAATTCCAGGGACCAAATCTGTAATTTAGTCAAAATAATATAAAAACGTGTAACATTGTTCAAGAATTCGGTTTGCCAATGAGTACTGAAGCAGCAACGGAGTAGTTGTTCTGCCAGCATGACCCATGAAAAAGTTCAAACCTCGATTACTGGACCACTCAAAGCCACCATCCTCTCCGCCGTTAGTCGCCGCCAACTGTACCAAGGCTTCCAATGCCCTGATAAACCGCTACTCAACCGCCGGTGCTCACCGCGACGTCCTCCTCCTCTACTTCTCAATGCTCAAAACCAACATTCTCCCCGACCCCTACACTTACCCAAGTATGCTCAAAGCTTGTACTTCTCTAAACCTCCTCTCACACGGCCTTTCTTTCCACCAACATGCCGTTGTCAATGGGTATTCGTCTGATGCTTACATTGCTGCCTCTTTAATTAATTTCTACTCGAAATTTGGGTACTCTGATGTTGCCAGCAAAGTGTTTGATGTTATGCCTGAGAGAAATGTTGTACCCTGGACTGCGATTATTGGGTGTTATGCTCGATTAGGGGAGGTAAGTACTGTGTTTCAGATGTATAAGAAGATGCAATGTGAAGGAATTAAACCAAGTTCGGTCACCATATTAGCCATGCTCTCCGGTGTTTCAGAGAATACCCATATCCAGTCTTTTCATGCTTGTGCAATCCAATACGGGCTTTCTGGTGATTTGGCTTTAGCTAATTGTATGTTGAGTTCGTATGGAAAATGTGGGAGAGTGGAAGATGCTAGGAGCTTGTTTGAATCGATGGATAAACGAGACATTGTCTCTTGGAATTCTTTGGTTACTGCTTACGCTTTGATTGATAATGTTATAGAAATCTCACAACTATTATCTAGGATGTCTTTCAGTGGATTTGACCCTGATCAGCAGACATTTGGGTCATTGATCTCTGCAGCTACAAGAAAGGGGAATCCCATTATTGGGAAGTTGGGGCATGCGAAAATAGTTACCAGTGGTTTTGAAGTGGATGTCCAAGTTAAAACGTTACTTATAACCATGTACCTTAAGTTTAAAGATCTGACGAATGCCTTTCGAATATTTGAAGCAACTCCTGACAAAGACATGATCTTATGGACTGCAATGATCTCGGGGCTCTTGCAGAATGAATGCCCAGATAAGGCATTAGCATTGTTCCATAGGATGTTAATTTCAAAGGTGACACCATCTACTACAACCATAGCTTGTGCTCTTGCAGCCTGTGCCCATTTAGGTTCCTTTCTTCTAGGAACCTCGATTCATTGTTATATATTACGGCAAACCATACTTGTGGACGTTCCTACTCAAAATTCTCTCATTACAATGTATGCAAAGTGTGGCCGACTGAATCAAAGTTGTGCTGTTTTTGAAATGATGTACCTTAAAGACGTTGTTACCTGGAACGCCATGGTTGCTGGGCATGCACAGAATGGCCAATTATCCGATGCCTTGTATATATTCAATCAAATGAGGAAATCCTTTGAAAGACCAGATTCAGTAACAGTTGTATCCCTTCTCCAAGCTTGTGCCTCAATTGGAGCTTACCATCAAGGGAAGTTAACACACAATTTTATCATTAGAAGTTCTCTTGGCTCATCCCTTTTAATCAACACTGCTTTGGTTGATATGTACTTTAAATGTGGAAACATAGACAGTGCTAGAAAATGTTTTGATAGAATGTCACAGCATGATGTGGTCTCATGGAGCACAGTGATTGCTGGATATGGCAGCCATGGGAAAGGAGAGAATGCTCTAGAGATGTTCTCAGAGTTCTTGCGAACTGGGCTCGAGCCAAACCATGTTACATTCTTATCTATTCTCTATGCTTGCAGTCACAATGGGCTTGTTCATGAAGGTATTAGCCTGTTTGAAACTATGACAAACCACTTCAAGATCGAACCAAAACTTGAGCATTGTGCCTGCATTGTTGATCTTCTGTGCCGAGCTGGTAGGATAGAACAAGCATACGAATTCTATAAGCTACATTTTGCAGAGCCGGTTATTGATGTTCTAGGCATTCTTCTTGATGCTTGCCGGACTAAAGGTAATAAGGAACTTGGAGACGTTATTGCTACTGAAATGCATAGGTTAAAACCTGAAGATGCTGGTAATTTGGTGCAACTGGTTCATAATTATGCTTCTACTGCCAGATGGGATGGTGTGGGTGAGGCATGGATCAAGATGAGGTCTCTTGGCTTAAAGAAGGTCCCAGCTTGGAGTTTTATTGAATTAAATGGGACTATTACAAGCTTTTTTAAGGACCATAGTTCACATCCCCAATACAATGACATAGTAATGGGTTTAAAGTCCATGACCATGCATCTCAAACCAGAAAAATCAGCCACAGATTATTTAGAATGTGAGGATGATGGCGTATAGTTGCAAGTATTGTAGTATAATTTATGAAGGGACAATAGAAGAAGAGAAATGATGAGTCTGCCAGGTTCCTAGAGCAATATGGTGCAAGCATATACATACGAGTACATGCATACAAGTAATGTATGTATCTGTCTTATCTTGTGCTTTTGTATACCACTTTAAGTTATACGTGCCATCACTTAATCGTTGTTAGAGTGATGATTGACTTTTAAAAATTTGAGGATTATTACATTAGAAGCCCTGATAAAGGAAAGAGATGTTATGCATGAATCTCACATATTCTTCTTAATTGAAAGAAAAGGCATGAAAACAAAAGTTCTGATTTGGGTATTTGCCTATCTGGTGATCCTTAACATGATATGTTAGAACAGTTCCTTCACATAAAACAGCAATTCTAAAATGCGTTTTTGTTCTTTGAATGTATATCTAAGTTCTGTTTATGCCCTAATAGGTTCAGTTTTCTGTAATTACAGCTCTGTAGGATTGTGCTTCATTGCTACGGCACTGCTGATGATCCAAGTCCCTATTCTCACCAGGTAATATATCGTTTATTTACCTAGGGGTAAACTGTAAATATTCTGAGAACTGTGAGAACCAACTATTATTAAATTATTCTTGATGAATATCGTGATAGACATTCATGATGAATATCATGCATAATGGAAAAATGCATGACATTCATAATGAATAAGAAGGTATATTCATCATGAATAATTTCTGAATAGTGGGTTCTTATAGTTTCCAAAATATCTATGGTTTCTAAATTAACTTTACCTTATTTACCTGATCTTCAAATTTATGATTTTTGTTTTCTGATGATCTATACTCTTCAACATTTACCCAGACAGATATTTAGTTGTTCAGTTGTCCTTTGCATGGTGCATGTTTTAACTTTTAACAGTAATATCACACATGGGGTCAAAACAATTAATTTCATCATAAAATTGGGACATTCATGTCCTGTGTCATCTTTTATGTCACAAAATATAAAACAAGCGAGTAAGATATAGGTGAGAGTGTCTACAGAGGATATTAGATTTTTCTAAAATGTCATGTTGTATGCACATGATCATAGTAAACTGAAAAACTTGCCATTTCTAATTTATATTCTCATCTAAGAGCATTGTTGTCGGATACTCTCTTCGTCTTAATGAATTTTATTTTTTAATTAAAAAATAAAATTCATAAACACGTACTACAAATAAATTATAAAAGATTTGAGAAAACGATCCACATTGACACAAGAGATGTCAACTAAATTGTAAAAGATTTGTTCATGTAGTTTATAGTTCAAAAACAAATGTTTACATGTTTAGGAGTGAACGTACCTTTTGCTACTGACTTTGATGTCTATATATTTTTATGATGACAACCAATTAAGCAAAAAACTAAACTTCATTAAATTTTCTTTTAGAACATCTTAAAATTACAGGAAGAATTACTCAGATACCAGTAAGTGAGGCCTATTTAGGTCGATCCCGCTATTCGGAGGTTCGAATCCTTCCGTCATACTTCAAGCTCTCCCAAATTTGTAATAAATAAGCAACTCTTCAGGAAAAAAAAAAATATTTGAAGTCTTTAAAAAAAATGATTATTGACCCTTTTTTTGGTTGAGAACGTGAGATTTACAAAAGCAAGTATATAAATACCACATTTTAGGGTTGGGTTCCAATGAGAAGCGAATTTATGTGAAAAACATAAGAAGAGATCTCCACCTTTGGATCAATCATAATTGAAAGTCAACACTAACAAGGTAAACCAAGATGCACCGAGTCAATTCCCGTTTAAAGTACAATTCATCGTAAACATGAGATTAAAAATGATCAACAGTTCAACTCTCTTCTTACATTTCTCATCATAACTTACATTATCTCTATTGCCAAACCAACATCAACAAAAGCACAAACGTAACAATCAAAAACCACTCGTCATAAAACAGCAAATAATCACACTTAACAAATACGTCCTCAAATAAGAAAGATGTAAAATTACCCTTCTACCCTCTCGACCGCCATCGAAACAAACGCTACAACATCCTGGCAACAGGGGCACCATTATCATTTCCATCACCCTTGTTACAAATATCCTAGCCCAATCTTTTGCGCTTCGACTTTAAGCGACTTAAGGTACTTAACAGCTTCATCAAGAATGGCAACCGTATTCATTTCATTACCACCACCATCCGGCACGATCCCTCTAATCGACTTCACCATTTTCCGCATCTTTTCCCGCTTTTCTTCACTACCCTTTGATCCGTGACCTGATAATAACCCAGGCCCTCCGTTTCTCGATCTCGAACACCAAGAATCACACGTATCGCTCGTGTCGCTTCTCCCCGTCCGTCCAGTGCTAACTTCCTCTTCCTCTTCCTCCTCGTCTTCAAAGCTCAACAACGCATCAATATCTGCCGAATCTTCATTCATAACTCTAGGGGCATTTACGTCTTTTTGCACCAGTGTAGTACTATCGGGAAAGTAACCAAAGTTGGATGCTGTGGTAGGGTTGTACATGATCTGGCTGCGTTTATCCGTCCTGTCAAAGATGATGAAATTTCTTGGGCAATCCCGTGATGGCCGAAAGTCAACACTTTGCACAAAGAACGATGAAATATGTGGATCGGGTAAGTATCCGCTACCCGCTTGATCACCTTGCATTACTATGTTAACCGGATGCTTCTAGTATGTAGTTACGGATTCTGGGCTTAGTGTGATACAGAAGAAATAAGAATCTTGAAAGCGATGAGAGTGAAATGATACGGTTTCAAGTTATTTCCATTTTCGGGCCAAGAGATTTATATTTCAACTTAGTAATTATCACCAAAAATTAACGGATCGATGTCTTTACCGGATTTCTAACGTGAAAAACAACCAACGGGGCAAACCTTGCCACGTCGCTAAACTTCGACTGTCGAAAGACTACGTAACGGGCTTGAGCAATTGACGGAAATATTCAGCCTGTAACCAAACAATAGAGCGTACATATTAAACGTTTGAATTCTCTAAGGGCGTGTTTGGTTTGAGGGATTTGGAGGGATTTGGAGGGATTTGGATTTGAAATCCAATCCAACCCTGTGTTTGGTTTGCTGGATTGTGAATATTTGAAATCCATGGATTCCTTTGAAATCCCTTGAACGCTGGATTTGGAAATCCTTCCAAAACACACGGGATTTGAAATCCCTTCCCTTACATCGTCTCCATCGTCTCCCACAGTACATGCTTGCCCTAACTCGTCTCCATCCCGTCGCCTTTCGCCCTTCCTCTCCCTCCGTCACCGTCGCCGTCGCCGTTCATCTCCCTCCGTCACCGTCGCCGTCGCCCTTCCTCTCCGTCGCCGCCTCCGTAGGTGGTCGTCGCTCACCGTCTCCGTCGCCCACCGTCTCCGTCGCCCTTCGTCGCCCACCGTCTCCGTCGCCCTTCGTCGCCCTTCGTCTCCGTTCGTCTCCGTTCGTCGCCGTTCGTCTCCGTTCGTCGCCGTTCGTCTCCCTTCGTCGCCGTTCGTCTCCCTCCGTCTCCGTCGCCGTCGCCTTCGTCTCCGTCGCCGCCTCCGTCGCCGCCTCCGTCGGTCAACAGGTGAATCCCTTTCCCCTTTTCGATTTCTGTAGTTCTCGATAATTTGCTGGATTGAGGAATCCTCGATAATTTTCGATTTCTGTAGTTCTCAATACTACAAATCCTACAAACCAAACAAAGGAATGGATTTCAAATCCAATCCAATCCAAATCCCATGGAATCCAAATCCCT